CATTGTGTAGAGCTACTTTACAGCTGTGAGTGAAAAGTAAAAGTCTCAGTAATTTTGTGGTTATTTGACCTTCCTCATCCAAATAAAACAGATACATTTGAGATGTGGTTCCCCCTCCTTCCTCTAGAGGTCGCCTGAACTCACCAGAGCACTTCTAACTGCCAAGTCTGGTTTGCTTCATTTTGTTTGTTTTTTTATTCCTGACGTGTTTTTTGTTAGTTTTTGTGTTTGTTTTGTTCTTGCTTGTGTTCAGTGTTGTATATGGATTCCTGTTTGTGTACAATAACACAATAACGATGTGTTGCAGGTTTCTCTGTGTTTTTATGCCTAATATCTTTACTTACTAGTCGCTCCATTTATCTTTATGACTGTGTGTCACTGTACACACTCTGTCCTCTACACTATAATCAATCGTCCTTGTAGACTGAGATAAGAGCAGTGGTACATGTAGTAGAGTAGAAAGGTGAGGATAAAAGATGTGCTGCCACCTCCTGGCTGTAGTTGAAAGGTGGACATTTTATTCTCTTATTCTCATAAATTAATCAACATTATTTATGTTCTACAGAAAAAAAACATGTTTAGAATATAAAAAGAAAGTGTTGTCTATAAATTTATTCACTTAAACTTTAATTTGAGTTCTCCTAACTTTCTTTTTTATCATAAAGGTTTGTTTTCTTATGTGATAACCACCACTCTTGAACTTTGACAGTAAATTATCAGCAGCTGTTTTTACCCTCTGATGTCTCCAGTCATAAAACCTGTGATGTCAGAACATGTCGTTCTTGTTTTTTAAATACTGTTTGCTTAAAAACTGTGAAACGCTTGACAATTTTTCTCCAAGATATATAACCAAAAATAAAAAATAAAAAATGACATATGCATTATCTTTTTACTGCATACAGAGATGATGGCAAGCACACGTGAAGTGAGGCACTGTTCCTGTTGTTCAGTAAACAGTCAGCAGCTGCATTTTATGGAGTTCACCTTGATTCTCTTCATAACACGTTAAGTCTTCTTAAAGAGGAAATTCTTTGTTTGCTGTAACAGAACCACAAATGTTTCACTCCATATTTAATTTCTTCCATTTTATTGTCTTTCCTGTCTTATCTGTGTTTTCCACATTCCACTGAAAGTGGCTAACCGCTGACTGAAAGTGAAGGAGTCATGCTGACAGAGGAAAGTAGGAACAACCAGGAACACTTTTCCTCCGTTTAAAAACCAGGCACAGATAAAAGTTTGTCAGTCAGGACTTTGAATGGAAATCTGTGCCAACTACAAATGTATCCAGATGATACATGGACACAGCAACAGGGTCAAAGTGGTTCAGCTCAAACCGAAGAGCAGAAAAACAACAAAGTCTGAAGTAGAAGTGTTGGAGAAGTTCAACCCGCCCCTAACAGCACACTCAATGAGCACCAGCTGATCATGTTTTAGCCATCATGAACTTTATTTTAAATTATTTAAATCTAACATCAGTTATAAGGTTCATACAGACAACTCACTGTCTGTTATACTGACAGGTTAAATTTGTAAAATCACAGGAGAATCCACAACTTTACCGCTCCACACATCCTCCAAAAAACCCCAGAAATTTGTTCTGTGATCATATAAACATATCAAAGTTGCACCATGGGAAAATACAGATTTCTGCCATTTTTTAAGTACAGTGAAGTACACACATCACTGTTTAATATGCATAAACACTGTGACATTAAGTATTTGTACATCATTACTTCCAACCTCTTGCATTTAATGAAGTGAGAAATCAATTGAAATGAGTGTTGAAACACTTGATCCAAGTACTTTATTATGTCAAATAAACTCAAAATGTCTCTACTTCTTTCTCACTTTAAGGGAAAATATCTTAAAACAAGAGCAACTGAGCAAGAATGTTATTGAAGGATTGTCTTATATTAAACTAAGACAAAGCCTTTACACTACATGAATTAAAGCACATATACAACAACCTTTATTTGAGCACTGATCACATGAAACTGCTAAAGAAGATGAACTAACTAAGAATACATATTGTAAAAGATTAATTGCATCCCGCTCTCTCTGAGTGTATCACTCTCAAAACAAGATAAGAAATTATTTTTGGCTCGATATAAGATTGTAAGAGTTAGTTATAGCCAGTTTTTGCAGTGATGGTGATTAATCAGATGATCCCTGCAGCTCCAGGCGCAGCTCGCACAGAGCAGACAGATACTCTTCATTATCCTTGTCATAGTTCAGAGCTTCTTCATAAAACAAAGCAGCTTCCTTCCTGTCGCCCTCAGCTCTGGCCACCTGACCCAGCAGAGCGAGAGCTTCACCATCACCTGGATTCCTTGACAGACGTTTCTTAGCGATCTGCTTCAGTTTCTGCAGGAACAAATAGAGGAACAATGAAAGATTAATTTATGTTCCAAATAAGTAGATTCTGTTCATCTGGATGTAACGTTTTCAGTGGGAGAAAACATTATGGCCTTTATGCTTTTTTTTTGTTGTTGAAAAAACGTTTTAAAGGATTTTTAGAAATGAGAGGTGTGCCATCCAAAGTGTGATGGATGCCACATCTCCTCACATGACCTAGTAAAAGTAAAAGACAGAACCACTGACAGTCACCAGTAGTTTTCAAGTTGAAGTTGAAAACAGTGAAAACAGTCCTCAGGTGCACAAGTAGGTGGTATTGAACAAAACATTAAAATCAAGCCTTTATGTCTCTAGTGCTCACCTGAGCACACTGTCTCCAATCATATTTTTTCAGTGGCATCAGCAGCCCCTGCAGAGAGAAAACAGCAGAAAACTATCATTAAGATGAATCCATCCATACTAAGGTCATGTGGTAGATGTGAGCGGTGAAATGTTCCACATTACTGCCCCGACACCTCCACCCTCCAAACAAGGCCTGTTAGTTTTTCTTCTTTCATTGTTCTTCTTGGGTTGAAACTAGAGATGGCACGATACCTCTTTTTTATGTCCGATACCGATATCATAAATTTGAAAATCTGCTGAAACCGATATGAATCCAATATTGTCTATTTTAAAATCACGAAAGTTGTTTTTTAAATATTTGCACAAGTTCCTACTCAAGTTTAAAAAGCCAAAACACCAAAGCTAATCTGTTGTACTTGGATGCAAAAAAACACTGCACCCAAAATACTTCAGTTCAGCAATACTGATCTTTTTACTTAAACTTTTAGCAGAACTTTAAAGTATTTAAAGTAAAATTGAAAAGTAATTTAAAATGCAATTTTATGTAGATTTCAACAACTCTGGTTCTGAAAAAAAGAAGTGCAATATCAGCACAAAATAATTCAAGAGCTCAAAAAAAAAACCAGGTTGTAGAATGGACCCTTTTATACTTAAAGCTGAACATAAATACACATCCATCCTTCCTTACATCCATCTTTTATCAAGATGGATGTCAGTGTAACTAGTTTCTGTCACATTTAACCTGAGATTGACTTTTGTGTCATTTCTATACAAAACTTAACACACGTATGAAAAAAAGTTTTTTCATTATTTTTTGGTGTTTTGTTTTTTTCGAACCACAGAACTGTTTAGCCTGCAACACCGTTATTTTCAAACTAAAACTCGAGTCTATCCATTGTACGGTCAGAATTAACAACGACAGATGTCCCAGCTTCATATATCGGTTGTTAAGCTAAACGTAGGAATGCTTTACAAACATTCAGAGATGAACTTACATACTTGCTTTACTTTTCTAGGATAGCTTGCTTGGAGATGAAATGCTGGTTTGTCAGCACGTAACGAGGCTCCAAATGCTTTCAGTGTGAAGTGACTCCAGACCACCGACAGGTCTTGTACACAACAGCCGCTCTATCACATGACGGATGATCTGATATCGTCGTGTTGGTGTTG